TCAAGTTTTAGGGGTTGGTACAGATTCTGGAGAGGCTGGGGAGGAGGGGGTTTCTTGAGAATTGGGTTACTATAGGCTCTACTTTGATGGGGTAATTCAGAAGATCTGAGCCTCCCAAGTAAGCGATAGATAAGCAGAGTAATATACACCTTTCCCTCAAATAGATCACATGGATAAGCAGGCAAGCGTTCAAGCACAGAAACAGGATGGCAAAGGGTATTTAGATTTTGTCATATGAGGGCTGGTTGAAGGAACTGAAAGTGTTTGATTTGGAGAAGACTTAAAGGGTACCTTACAGCTCTTTATGTCCAGTAGTTGAAAAAGTGTCATATAGCAATAGTTCAGCTTGGGCCCAGGAGTAAAATTAGCTGCAAGGAGTAGACGTCACCACGAGGCAGATTTAAACTTGATATGAGGTAAAAAACTTTTTTAACAATCAGAGCTTGCCACAAGTGGAATGCTCTGCCCTGGAAGACAATGTAATGAAGCTACATAGCACAACGGATGGAGCCCTAGACTTGGGAGTAAGAAAGACCTGAGTTCAAATACTACCTCAGACATGATACTCCCTAGCTGTGACTCTAGACATCTCCCTTAACCTTGGCCTGCCTCAGTTTCTCCATCTGTAAAATGTGGATAATAAAAACACCTGCCTCACAGGATTGTTGGGAGGCTAATATGAGATCATATTTGTAAAGTGCTTTGCAAATCTATAAGCACTATGCAAATACTAGCTACAATATTATCATAGTGCCTCCTCATTCACTGGAGGTTTTCAAAATCAAAGGCTAGCTGACCATTTCCCAAGCAGCTGATAGAAGGGATTCTTATTCAAGCCCCGGTGACCTTAGACAGCCTCTGTAAAATATATTACTGGGGAAGGCCTTCCTCTTCCTCTGCACCTCTGTGAAATCCTCTCTTTCTCCGTGCATACCTTTGGGGGTTCAACTCTCAGTCCTCCTATTTCACGAAAGCACCAATCTGCCTACCATCTTCTCTCCTGATTATCTGTATGGTCTGCACCATTCATTTAACATATAGCACTTACTACCTAATGTTTTTATTTGCATGTATGTATGTGAGTATTTCTATCTACAAACTCTATATAACTCACCTGTTCAGCCTTCCTATCACTCCCCTTCACACACTCTCAGTTCCAGCCAAACTATCCTACTCCAGCCATTCCCAGAAGCTAACACAGTGTATTCCACCTCCAAGTATTCCCCCAAGGATGTCACTGGAGACTAGAATGTATATCCCATCCATTTCCACCTTTAAAAATTCTTATCTTCCTTCAAAACTTAGCTCCAGTGACCTGTGAAGGCTTTCCTGATTTCTTTCACCTCCTTAAATGTTCCTCTTTCCTCTGAATCTCTTCTTTGGCTCCACCACACCCTTCCCTGCATATTCATCCAGGTATGCTTGCACCTAGCCTGGTGGAACATGATCTATGTGAGGGAAAGGTATACACTACTCTGTGAGTATACACTATTCTCTAGCCCCTAGGACACTGCCTAATACATACTTCAGGTTTATCCCCCACAATGCCTTCTCCAAGGTACAGTTGTTGATTGCTGAATAGGGAAAAGAGGTCATCTTGTCATAGTTCTCTAAAGAAAAGAGGAATTTGAGGCTAGTCTCATTACATGGCCCCCCTAATTACATACAGAGTACTAGGGTCATAGAGCACTTTCCCTAAAGCCCCCTGGAAGAATCCTCACTGTCTGCTCAGCTGGAATGTTTTCGGGGAGGAAAAAAGTTGAGGCGCTGCACTGACAGCAAACCAGACTTAGGGGAGGTGAATGTAAGGAAAAGCTGTCTGACTACATGGGGTGTGATGAGTCCTGTCCTTCAACAGGTCAATGAAACAAGCATTAGCAACGACTTTTGGAGGTCTCAGGTTCCCCACCCCTGTGTAAGTAAGATATCCAATCCAAAGGCACAAATAGTCAGGTTCTGCCCAAAACTTTCTCCAGGAAGAGATGACTAGAACTTACATTTCCCACCACCAGCATTCATTCTTAGCAGAATGTAAATTCCTTGAAAGCAAGAATTTTTTTTCCCTATTTTGTTTTTGTAGCACAGTGCCTGGCACATAGTAGGGACTTAATAAATGCTTTTTGATTGATTGGCAGTATGTGCATAATAAATGCTTGCTGTATTCAATTCAAGTTACAGAACAAATTTCATTAGATGTCCAAGACCCATTCTGGCCTATCTTCCAAACCTCTCACCAACATAATTAGTTGAAACTAAAAATGCAAATTGCCTCCTGGATGGGGTAACACATTAAGCCCTAACTTTCAAGTGATTACCGAAAAAGGTTTATGGCAAAGATCCCTGCTAAAGGGAAAAGCACATTTGGGCAGGACCCCACAGCAAGAGTTTCCCTGCCCTCTCGACCAAGAGAGGAAGGAGAGTGTAAAGTCCGGGGGGGGGGGGGGGGGGAGGCCTCTAAAATGAGCAGTGAGCAGATGTTTTAGCCAAACATCATTTCCTTTATCATTTCAGCTAGAATAGCTGACCACACACAGGACAGGTTCTGATTTCCTAGCTCTAAAAAAACAAAATGAGGATGGTACAGAAACCAGAAAGATCTAGATCAGAGTTATCAAACACCAGGGACAAGTGGCCCCCACTCCTGAGTGTGGCAAGAACAAGATTAAAATGTTAACTGGGAAATATTTAATAAAATAAGTAAAAATACGATAAAACAGGTAATATTACATTTTAAAATTAAAACAATATGCAGCCCACAGGGATCCTTTAGTGGCCTCTCTTCCCTATTTGAGTTTGACACTACTAGTCTAGATTTTAATATTATGAGTTTCCACTGTGGGAGTTCTTCAAGCAATGGCTTGAAGTAAGAGATAATGGGGAGCAGAGGCATCATCCTTGCAAGGTCCCATATTGACTCAGAAAAACCACAAGTTAATTACATTATCTACCTTGTACTGTATTTTTATTGTTATTAAACATTTCCCAATAACTTTTTGATCTGGTTCAGGCAGCCCTAGGGAGTTTTGATGGCTTCAGACTGGCTTACTTATCATCTGACTTCTCAGCTGTAGTGAGAATTCCTGCTCTGATAAGAGTAGGGCTCATCTTAGCCTGAACCCTCTCGGATCCCTCACAGGTCTGTGAGTCTAGGTCCCAATGTCCCACTCCAATCAGCAGCAGAGTCTAGCATATTCCCATCCAAAAGGATGGTTGGGAAAGTACTTTGTCTCGGTAGCACACCCCTTCTCTGGGACTTCGGAAACCCGAACCACACTCAGAAATCAAAGGCAGAATCAAAGGGGAACTGGAATGACTATGCCAATGGCATGTTCCAGGTAACAGGGTGTGATGGAAAGAGCTCTGAATTTGGAGTCTAGGTACCCATGTTTGAATCCTGGTTCTTCTATTTTACCTAGGTGACCCTAGAGAGAATTCTCTTCCCCTCTCAGGGACAGTTTCTTTCCTCCAAAAAATGAGAGTTCCCTCCAAAAAATGAGGGTTCCCTCCCAACTATAAAACCTATGATCCCTATGGATTCCATATGTAATAAAATGAGAAAAGCATTGAAGTTGTCAAATAAGGGGCTGGACTAGAATGAGTTCTAATTCTAAGGTCATTTCAAGCTCTGAAATTTAATCACTCTAAAGCAGGGGTGGGGAACTTGCGGCCTGGAGGCCACATAGGTCACATGCAGCCCTCTGACTGAATCCAAACTGCACAAAACAAATACCCTTAATAAAAGGATTTGTTCAGTAAAACTTAAGACTCAGTCAAAAGGCCACACCCAAGGACCTTCTCCCACATATCTCAGGACCAACCACCCAGTTCTACACTGCTGCCCTTCTGAAACACAGATCCCACATCCCTTCCTACCTGCCCTCCTCACCAAGAGCAGGTGCCCCAGAAAATGGTCCCTCTAATAGAGGGAAAACTATGAAGGCACAGAGATGTTTCCCCACCACTATCACCAACGTATAAAAAGCCCTCACTCTTCCCTGCCAAGGAATGCCTTCAAAAATGCAAGTTTTGGGTTTGTGGGGAGCAGGGCAGGGAGAAGGCTACATCTTTCTTAAAAAAAAAAGGGAAAACAGGCACTTTGCATAGCTTGATCGGGGTCCTTCTCTGTCTGAGAATTAGGGGAGGGGGAAGGAAGGCACCAAAGTCTGCCGCCCTTCTCCACCCATACATCTGCGGATGCCCCTCCTGCTCCATCCCCAGGAATTCTCTTTCTTTCCCTGCTTCACTTATTCATCACCAAGCATGGGAGAAGCTGAGGGGCGGGGCTATTTCCCACCCAAACTCCCAGGGCCCCCTAAACAGCCCACCTGTCTCCACCACTGACAGTGATGACAAATGAGAGAAGCTGAGGTATGCGCACGCTCACAGGACCCTGCCCCATACAGCTGTCACTCACCAAGTGCTGGGGAAAAGGGGGAAGGAGAGAACTGTCTGTCCCTGTCACTTAGTGCTGGTGACTAGAAGACAAATACAATCTCCCTAAGTCCACTTTGTTCACACATGCACTTCCTCCACCACTGCAACTGTAGAGGGCCAACAGGAGAAACCGAGGCACTGAGACAAATGGGCACAACTTTTTGTGCCCTAACGTCCCTGTCTCAGGACACCTGCCTGTCTTTGGTTCCTGGCTCCCAGTCCTACTCATATCAAGCTGAGAGGAGGGGAAACTGATGCCTGGAGACACTGTTTTTCAAACACACCCCTGCTTCTGATTCCTCCCTCCCTGCCCACTGACAAGAGGGTAAACTGGACCATGACGGGATATTTTTCCACATATACCTCCTCTCCCCAGTCCCTCCCTGCACTGTGACAGAAGGGTAAACTGAGGCACAGAGGGGGAGTTCTCCATCTACATCCTTGTTCTGAGTGATGATAGGAGGGCAAACTGAGGCACGGGGGGAGGGTTTTCCACCTACAGCCCCCTCCCTCTCGCTGACAGGAGGGGTAAGGAGTGGGTCACCCGGCCCGCCCCGGCCCCTCACCCAGCGCTGGCCCGCGGCCACAGCGCACGGCCGCCCGGAAGCAGTCCATCTGCGCGTTCCTCTTGCCGTCGGGCTCCCACATAACCTGCGCCTCCATGATCTTCTCGTGCCCGGCCCGCGCCTCCTTGGACATGGCTGGGGCTCTGGGGCCGGGCCCGGAGGCCGGGGCGGCGAGGGCCGGGGTCGCGCGCCTTCGCTCCTTTGCTCACGCCCCCCTCACACACACTCGGACACAGGCGGGAGCGCGGCGTGCGCGCGAGCAAGCGTGCGCGCGCGCCTCGGCCGGGCCCCCGCTCCGGCTTCTCCCGGATGTCGGCAGCGACCTCGGCGGCTGAGGGAGCGGAGGACGCGAGGGCTGCGCTCGAGAGCAGCCGGAACCGCACGAGCCGGACGAACGTCCCACAGCCAAATGAGCCAGGGCCTTCCGCCGCCCCACTCAAAGCGGCCTCCGCCCCGCCCCCAAGGACCGCTGGCTCCGCCCCCTGGGGAAAATGCTGGCCCTGCCCTTTTACTGCTTCTCCGAGACTTAGGAGCTGCGTAACCGTCCGCCACCTGTCTGCCAGGACAGGAAAAAGAGTGCCCTCAAACGTCTTACCCTGCGCCGCGCCGCCCCGCCCGGCTCCAAGAAGCCCAAGGAATGGGTCCTGCCGGCCTGCCTCGAAGGCCGAGGATGCCCTTCTTGGCCCATTGTGTCCTAGCTTCCCAGGGGGGAAGAATAATAAATCTCATTAGAGCACAGGCCAAAATTAAAGAAACAATTTACGTTTATAAAGTAGGTTAGTTTTTATCAATAATAATAGCTAGTGTTTACATAGCGCTTTAAGGTTTACAAAGCGCTTTACAAATATCATCTCATTCGGTAGTTGAAGACCTGGATGCAAGTCTCCCTCTGAAACATACTAGCTATGCGACCTTAGGCAAATCATCTAACCTCCAAAGGTCTTAGTTTCTTGTTTCCTAAAATGATAATAATAGCCCCTTCCTCCCAGAGTTTTTGTGATGATCAAATGAGATAATATCAGCGAACCTTAAAGCGCCACAGAAATAATAGTAACCTCTCTTACCTCCAAGGGTGATGGAAATGTGATGGAAAAAAAAAAGTAAAATTTGGAACTATGCCCAAAGGCCAATCAAACTGTGTTTACCCTTTGATCCAGCAATACCACTACTAGGTCTGTAACCCAAAGAGATCATAAAAAAGGGGAAAGGACCTACATGTAAAAAAAAAATTATAGCAGCTCTTTTTGTGGTGGCAAAAAAATTGGAAATTGAGGGGATGCCCATCAACTGGGGAATGGCTGAACAAGTTGTGGTATATGAATGGAATGGAATACTATTTGTGCTATAAGAAATGATGCACAGGCTGACTTCAGAAAAACCTGGAAAGACTTGTATGGTCTGATGCTGAGTGAAGTGAGCAGAACCAGGAGACCGTTGTACACAGTAACAGCAACATTGTGCAATGATCAACTATAAATGACTTCTTAGCTCTTCTCAGCAATACAATGATCCAAGACAATTCCAAAGGGCTCACGATGGAAAATGCTATCCATATCCAGAGAAAGAACTGCTAGATTCTGAATGCAGATCAAAGCATATTATTTTCACTTTCTTTATTTTTCTCATGGGTTTTTTTCCTTTTGGTCTGTTTCTTCTTTCACAACACGACTAACGTAGAAACATGTTTATATATATATGTATATATTTATACATGTGTGTTTATATATGGGTGTGTTTATATATATGGGTGTGTTTATATATATATGCATATATATATATATACACATATATCAAAGTGCTTGCCATTTCAGGGAGCGGATGAGAAAGGAGAAAAATGTGGAACTCAAAAAAATGTTTAAATGAATGTTTAAAATTGTCTTTACATGTAATTGGGAAAAAATAAAACACTACTTTTAAAAGAGGAAAAAAGGGTGTATGTAAAGTGTTTTGCAAATCTTAAAGTACTGTAGAAATGCTAGTTATTATTATTAGCAATAATAATGGCACCATTTACCTCCCATGGTTGTTGTAACGATAAAATGAGAAAACATGTGTAAAGCGCTGTGCAAACCTTAAACTGCCGTAAAAATGCTAGCTGGAAACAGCTAGGTGACGCAGTGGACAGAGTGCTGGTCCTGGAGTCAGGAAGCCCTAAATTCAAAGCCAGCCTCAGACACTTACTAGCTGTGTGACCCTGGTCAAGTCACTTCACACTTTGCCTCCGTTTCCTCATCTGTAAAACAAGCTAGAGAAAGAAATGGCAAAAACTCCAGTGTCTTTGCCAAGAAAAGCCCAGATGCGGTCACGAAAAAGTCGGACACGACTGAACAAGTCGCAATGCTAGCTACCAGTAGCTACTCTCTTAAGACTGTCAAGGTGCAGAAAACGTGTATTGGTAGAGGGAGTTCCCTCTACAAATGAAATCGTAGACCCAGGCCCTACCCCTAGAATTTACAAAATCACTACCACCCTGCCCTGTTTAGGAGCCTCGAATTGTTGTGAATTACTTTACAGAGGGGGCTTATATTCCAATGTTACAGAAGAGGCGGAAAAAAACCCACAAGGCAAAAATGCCTACCTCAATGGATAGTAAGGAAAGTGTTTGGAAACTTAGAGCACTGTAGAAACACGAGTTACTTTTTACTACCTACGTGACCTCAGGCAAAGCACACCCTCTCTGGACCTCATTTTCCTTAACTGTTAGAACCCGGAGGCTTTCTTCCAGCTCTAAATCTCACTGTTTTCTTAAAATCACTTTCGTTTTCACTACTGAACCTCAAACTGTTGGCCAAAGAAAGCATCTCTTATCCTCTGAGCGTTTCTTATTCGGCAATTCCATTCCGAAAACCCTTGTTAAGCCTCGCTTGAGTGCAGAGCACTGTCCTTGAGAAAAAAAGCAAGTCCCTAACTCCACGGAGCTAATCAACTGTGGTAGGAGCAGCTTGGTGGTCCAGTGGATAGAGCCCTGGGCTTGGAATCAGGAAAATCATGTTCCCGAGTCCGGTATCAGACACTTCCTACCTGTGTGACCCTGGCCAAGTCACTTCACCCTGTTTACCTCAGTTTCCTCTTCTGTAAAATGAGTTGGAGAAGGAAATGGCAAACCACTCCAGTATCTTTGCCAAGAAAAGCTCAGATGGACTCATGGAGAGTCGGACAGAACTGAAACGACTCAATAACAACGAAACGGTAGGTACCTTTCCTCTGTTGATTATCTCTAAGTTATCCCTGCCTATATCTTGTTGGTATGCAGTTCTTTGCTTGCTGTATCCCCCATTAGACTGTGAATTCCTTGAGAGAAGGGTCTTTTACCTTTGCTCGTATCCCTAGCACCCAGTACAAATGCTTCCTAACTTGAAATCATTTATCATCTTCTGCCCACCTCCTTCTATTTATACCCACTGCTATAGAAAGAAATAAGCAGCCCCAAACCCTTGCTTTGTGGTCACCGTTCTTCTCAGTGATGACAGATGGGAAGGAACAGAAATCCAAGAAAAGCAATGGGTACATCTAACACCTAGAGTGAGGCACAGGACAGAGGGCAGCAGAATAATGTCTTCTTTCTCAGGAGATCAAAACCTTCTTTGATTACTCTGTTATGGTATTCCTTTGGCAGCTCAAGGTGATAAGCAGAGAAAGATTTCTAATTTAGATTGAATCAAAATCCCCTAGACTAGACATAGAGAAGCACTTTTTAGGAATGCTTTATCAGTGCACACCTGACTTCTCCCTCACTTTTGGCAGCAACTCACAGGTGGGTGAAAATATCTGCAGAGTGAAGGGTATTCCTCAGTCCCCTCTCTTAGCTCCTACCCGAACAACTAGTATTTTATATTACCGGTAAAGGCTACCTCCCATGGAATTGTTATAAAGCCCAATGAGACTAGTCTGGGCAAAACATACACATGGGAAACAAGGGGGAAACCAAGTGCTCCCCATAGTTCATATTATAATAGTCATTCTTTGTAGCAAGTGTGATACAGGCAAAATACTCAGCCTAACAACTTTCGATGGCTCACCGAGATTGGATCTAGCCGCCTTAGCCATTCTCTCCATCTTTGCATTTGCCCCGATGATCACACACCATCTTTTAGACAACTTATTATCACAATGTACACAAAGGTCTTGAAATTTTTAAAGCCCTATATAAAAATGATAGCTGAACTGAGAAGCCACACCTAATCGTTCCTGTCAATATTATCTTTATGTAACTGGGACTTCACCCCACGACCAAGTACAGAATTGTCTTTCTGCTTCTGGTTGATCAAGTCTGCTGGCCTGGAGTGCTTTAGCAAGATGACGCAGTCTCATTAACCCTATGATGGTAGGGACAGAGGCTGGTCATTTCTGAAAGGAGAGACAGTTCATGCTGTTTCTTGTAGCCTCCCATGTGACAAGTACCTCTTTCTGCCTAGACTTTCCACAAGGGACAGTGGGGAATGGCACTGCCCTTTCCTCCACTCATAGCAGAAATAGTGAACTTTGAGCACACAGTTGCTGAAGGATATGTGTGGGTAGAGAGTCAAGCCTGAGTTTGCGCCATAGGCCCCTGGCTGTCTTGTCCACTCTTTTCCTTTCATGAACCTAGATGACTGAACAGCAGTCCCAAGTGGGACATATTCAACCTTGGAGGAAACTTTGTGGATTTCAGAAGTTCAATGTCCTTTAGCCTAAGATAACTGATGGCAGATGGGGTTTCTGTACCAGAGAGGTTGACCACCCAGAGAGGAAAGATCTCAGCCCATGTCCTGACTTGCCAGGAAGACATGGATTTGAACACATTTGTTTAGACAGTGAAATATAAAATACCTATTCAGCAGTACCACAAACTGCTTCACATCTTGATGTTTTCAATGTCAACCTCCTGGGAGAATATAACAGTAGTTATGAGTTACTGTACCTTATTTTATTCTTACTCTTATTTTATATCTTATTCTCTGTCAATGCATGCTTGTGAGTTTTTGCATTTAACATTTCTTTTGTGAGGTGGAAATAAATAGCTGTCCTCTACTCTATTCACATTGTACACTGAGTCCTTTTTACTCTCCTTTTTGGGAAGGTACTGGATAGGCACCAAAACTAAGCCTCAAATAATTTCACCAGGGTTTTGGAGTAAGGGCTTTAAAGGGTCAAAGAGACAGTAAGACAAAAGAGCCTT